GAAAAAATGGACCCAGGAAACTACAGATCAATCAGTTTAACATCAATACCTGGGAAGATCCTAGAAAAGATAATCAAAAAATAGATCTGCGAACAACTAAAAGCAAACAAAGTGATAACTAACAGCCAGCATGGTTTGTTAAAAACAGATTATGCCAGACCAATCTGATCTCATTCTTTGATAAAGTGACTAAACTAGTAGACCAGCGAAACACAGTGGACATAGTATACCTAGATTTCAGTAAGGCATTTGACAAAATAGACCACAACTACTCCTTGGTGAGCTAGAAAAAGGTGGAATAGACAACATCACCAACAAATGGATCTGTAACTGGCTGACAAACTGTACTCAACGAGTAGTCCTAAATGGCATTACATCCACATGGAGAGAAGTAAGCAGTGGGGTATCACAAGGTTCTGTCTTAGGCCCAGTACTCTTTAATATCTTTATAAACAATTTAGACGAGGGAATTGAAGGGGAACTCATCAAATTCTCAGATGACACCAAACTGTCAGGAGTAGCCAACATCCCAGAAGACAAACTCAGGATCCAAAAAGATCTTGACAAAACTTGACAATGGGCCCTATCCAACAAAATGAGTTTCAATGTGGAGAAAAGCAAAGTCTTACGTTTAGGCAGGAAAAACCAAAGGAGCAAATACAGATTGGGCGAGACCTGACTTGGGGACAGCAACTGTGAGAGGGACCTTGGTGGACGATCACTTAACTATGAGCCAGCAGTGTGCAGCAGCAACCAAGAAAGCTGATACAATTCTGGGTTGTATAAACAGAGGCATAGATTCAAGATCATGCAAAGTACTAGTATCACTTTATAAAGCCCTCGAATACTGCAGCCAATTTTGGTCACCATATCACAAAAAAGATGTTGAGAGTCTTGAAAAAATTCAGAGAAGAGCAACTAAGATTATCAAAGGCTTGGAGACCAAAATGTATGAAGAACAGCTGCGGAAGTTGGGTTTGGCCTGTCTAAAGAAAAGAAGAAATTGGTGATACATGATTGTCAAAAGAGATAGTGAAAGATTTATACTTTCACATTGCAAGATTTTGTTAATATAGCTTTACAATAAAGTAGAATTACTTCATCTGGTCATTTTTCCTATCTCCTCTACCTGAATGAACATTAGCCTTGCAACTTCCTTCTTAACAAATCCTTGCTTTCTAGTAATCGCCCTATTGTTTGCAAGGAGTTTATGAATACTCTAGTTATTTGTGTATTTTGTTTACTTGATTCTTGACCATTGCTACATTTTATTGGTATACTCAGTGCTTTTTTTCTAAAAAAAAAAAAAAAGGTGCCAGAACTCAAACATGTCATACAACCCGCCTTGCCTACCCTACAAGGTTCCATCCAAAAAAGGTGCCGGAACTGCGTTCTGGGCGTTCTATGAGAAAAAAAAGCCATGGGTATACTACATGATTTAGAAATATTGCTGAATCTTTGTATTTCAGTTTTGAAGATAATGGTTAAACTATTTCTCCCAACTCACAATATTTGCAAGTTAAACAACCATAGAAGAAAGATTCAAATGTAAAAAGAGATAAGAAACCAAGATTTCTGCTTTTAATTTCCTTGGTGTTTTCATTCTAGTTTCATCCATTTCTAGAGAAGAGAGAATTGTACAATCTTTCCCTGCTGAAAGTATATTTGGATCAGAATGGAGACCTAGCAGCAGATCTGAAGATCATTAGTAGGTTAGTTCTCCCCAGGAAGGATCCCATCGACAAGCGATTGGGGAGTTTTGAAAGACAGAGACTTACAATCAATCAAGAAGCTTTGTCACAGTTAAAGTTGCTCAACAAGGTGGGGAAAATATTGATGTCTTTTCTCTTTTTTCCAAAGCCGTTTCAAGTGGGCTAAACCCAGACAAAAAAGTGGGTAACCTTCACTGAGAATTCAATGTGTGGAGTAAAACCTTTATAACTTTCCTAGGCAGATAAGCATCCCTCAGTTCTATTGACCAAGGTTTCCCTTCTGATGCTGTCATGCTGAACCTTGTTGTAAGTTGATCCAAAATGAAATATGGGGTGATTATTATTTAGGACACAAATCATTGCCATTTAGTGTCCCTTTGGCAGTTTTGGTATTAATAGCTTCAGGTTCATTAGTTTTTTGTCTTCAAATATCAAAGGTGAAGGCAATTCTTTTGACCAGTCCCTGAGTTCCAATTTGGACTGAATCCAATGAAGTGGAATCAAGGGTGAATGGCAGTTCTGTTGGTCCAATTGTTAAATAAGTTTCATTTTGCCTTGATTGGAGTCAGGGGTCTCCCAAAATTGCAGGCCCATAGTCTGGGATGTTTTTAATCAGCTGAGAACACACTTATAGCCGTCTCTCTCTGAAAATCCCTTGAATGGAACTGTTTATCTTGATTGTTAGCTGCCTTAGGACACACTGAGAGGCTACAAATCAAACTAATAATAAATATGAGTGTGTATTTCCCTGTCAGATTCTGTCACCTAATTGTATTTTCTCAACAGAAAGGACCTTGTGTTGGATACCTGTGTTGAGTATCCATTTCCCACATAAGACTCACACTCATGACCCTTGTGGTGCACCAAAAAAATGCCTGACTCACCCTTTTTCAGGGACACGTTCTCATGACCTCACCTCCATCTCACCTCACTATAGTTTTAGAAACTAGTCAGCCAGTTTTAGTTTTAGTTCACCAGCATGGTTGCCATATAAATTGAATAAATATATATACAAATAAAGTTCATCTTTAGGGTTGACAGCCCTTATTTGTAAAGAATTTCCCTTTTTATCTTAACTGGGAGATAATTTTGGACCATGTTCAAAGGGAAGCAGCTTTGCAAAGTTTTATGCACTCAGGAAGAAATCTTTCCAGATTCTGCTGGTCAGAATCACGGTTTTATTCTATTTCAATAAATCTAATGGAATAAAAAATGAATCTTTTATGATAAACTTCACTCCAAAATTAGTATGTTTGGATATCTTACTTTAAAATCAAGCATGTATGAAGACTGGAGGAATGCATGTTAATTCCACTATGAGAAGGAACCTACTGGTTGTCACTTAATGTTTAAATCTTTTCTCAATTTCATCCCTCCAGACTTTGTTAAGTAGAAAGGTACTTTTTTGTAATTGGCCAGATCCTGAAGTTGAAACTCAAATACTTTGGCCACCTAATGAGAAGGAAGGACTCACTGGAGAAGGGCCTAATGCTGGGAAAGATTGAGGGCAATAGAAGAAGGGGATGACAGAGAATGAGATGGCTGGATGGAGTCACTGAAGCAGTAGGTGTGAACTTAAATGGACTCCAGAAGATGGTAGAGGACAGGAAGACCTGGAGGAACGTTGTCCATGGGGGTCGCGATGGGTCGGATACGACTTCGCAATTAACAACAACAACAATGTCAGAAGAAAAAGGGAGGGACTGAATGAAGCATCTGCCTGCAATTGTCTCTCCTGCAACCATGTTTAAGTGGTCAGAGATTTCATATTTGCCTACGTGAAGCCGAGAGACGACTTGGCTGATGTTCATGTCTACCTCCATCTTACATGGATGGTGAGTCCTAACATATTTTCTTTGGCATTTCTTCTTTTTCTTTTTAGTCTTTGCCTCAGTCTAAATGTGTGGAAAAATGCCATCCTGGATTTGTCAAGCAGGCTCAAGAAGGAGAGCCATTTTGCTGCTACGATTGCATTCCTTGTCCAGAGGGGACCATCTCCACTCAGGAAGGTGGGTGACGCCACAGGGAAACCTTGATCAATATGCATGTTAAAATTTTTAATTTTCATGGAGTCCAATTTCTTCCATAATGGGAAGTATAAGAAAAATATCTTGAAGGATGAGGTAAGAAGAAGGATGCTGTGGATTGCATGGGAAATCTCTTTCATTTCCCAATTTGGATGTTTCCATCCATATTTATCTTTCTTAGAAATATCTGTATTCTTTGTAACTTGAGGAATGATTTTAGATCAATGGGTTTTGTTTACCTAGAGTAGACCAACTTTACATTACAGGCTGATAGATACATCAGTCAATCATTCATTTAATTAGTTAATCATTAGTAAGATGATATATCCTTATAAGCTGCAATATCTAATTGGGAAGAACAATAGAGGGAGAGATGTTGGGTTAAAGGAACAAGGAAAACCAAACAGAGGATTCAGGATTCATCTGCAATTTACAAATAGTCCAGAATGCAAAGGCATGCACAGTGTTGAGTTTCATGTGTTCTTCCATAGGACACCCCTACTGTGCAGGCTGCACAGAATCCCAGTTTCTTTCCAGGTGCAATTAAATTCAACTTTCAAACCCTCCATTAGACAAAACCAGGGTATCTGCAGGGCTTCCCCTCCTTGAGAATATCTGCTTGTCCCACCAGAGCATATAATAATTGGCATGCAAACAGTCTGTTCCCTTAAAGGATTCCCACTTTATGGATCATCAGAAGCCTTCCTTTTCTGATGCAGTTCCTGCCTTATTGGATCCACTCCCCCTTGAAATTGAATAGGTCCCTAATCTCTTAAACCTCTGAACACGTGCTACTTCTCCCAACTATTTGAGATAAAATAAGGTCAGTGCAGGATAAGAATCTGGTTGATTACCTCAGAGAAGGGAGGATGCAGCACCAGACAGATTTTATTTTGAATTTATATTGTTGTTGTTCTTTTTATAGTTGTATATATTGGGGATTTTTTTGCTGTTGTAGTGTAAGTATATTCCATTTACTGAGACTTTTCTGTCTCTCTGTTTCACATCTTATCCGAAGATTTTCTTGAAATTTGAAAGACTATAAAAGAAATATTACTTTCTTTTCTCAGATACCACAAAATGCACCAAGTGCCCAGATGATCAATATCCAACCGAGAACCGAATCCAGTGTATCCGCAAAAGAATAACCTTTCTGTCCTATGAAGAACATCTCAGCATCATACTCATCTCCTTTGCTCTACTCTTGTTCCTAAACACAGGCTTTGTTTTAGTCATATTTATTAAATACTTTGAAACTCCTATTGTCAAAGCCAACAACTGGGACCTCTCCTTCATCCTCCTGGTCTCCCTCCTGCTTTGCTTCTTATCTTCCTTGTTTTTCATTGGCCGACCAAGGAAAGCCACCTGCCTTCTCCGACAAACAGCGTTCAGCATTGTCTTCTCAGTAGCCGTGTCATCTGTGTTGGCCAAAACAATCACAGTAGTGCTGGCATTCCTAGCTTCAAAACCAGGCAATAAAGTGAAAAGATGGTTGGGGAGGAGCTTGGCCAATTTCATTATCCTTTCTTGTTCTGCTGTCCAAATTCTCATCTGTGCCATATGGTTGGGAGTTTCTCCCCCATTTCCTGACTCTGATCTGCACTCCCAGCCTGGAGAGATCATCCTTCAATGCAACGAAGGCTCTGTCACCATGTTTTATGTTGTCCTTGGCTACATGGGCTTCCTTGCTGCAATTTGCTTCACTGTGGCTTTCCTGGCCAGGAACCTGCCTGGAGCTTTCAATGAAGCCAAGCTGATCACCTTCAGCATGCTGGTCTTCTGCAGTGTCTGGGTCTCCTTCCTGCCTACCTACATGAGCACTAAAGGAAAATACATGATGGCCGTGCAGGTCTTCTCCATCTTGGCCTCCAGTGCTGGACTATTGAGCTGCATCTTCTTCCCCAAGTGCTACATTATCATCCTGAGACCAGATCTAAACACCAAGGAACATCTAATGGCAAACACAGGGGAATGATTGTGAAATTGTTTTCTAGACTGATAATGTCTAATTATCCATTATTATTGGTTATATGTTCTTCCTTTGGATATGCTTTGCAACTTATGCTTATTAAAACTGAAGGAAATAAATATGTGATGTTTGTTAGTTAAATGAAAAATCAAGATAATCACCAAATACATTAATAGATAAATAATAAAACAAACAAATCGATGAATAAATATTATGTTTTTTAAACTATTGGTTTTCCTCAGCACACGTGTCAATCAATATTTGGCTTAAGCAACTCTTCAAGACAAGAGCTATATGATTCATTTCCTGGGCTTTATAGTGCTGTAAGCTTGGCAGATATCTTCAAAGATAATTAGTGAGGTCTGAATCTCATCTCTTTCATGGTTCTTTATGAATTGGTATTTCCATTCCCCCAAGTTATGGGTTCTACTGGGGAGAAGAGAGTAAGTGAAGAGGAATGATGTTACAATTCTCTCACCAGTTTTGGTGATCCTTCTCTTTCTCCTGAGTGCTCTTTCTCAGCAATCTTCCTTCATTTCAACTCCAGATCAATTCCATCTTCTTCATGGCTTCCTCTTTCACAGCCTCCAGCTCCAGCTTCTCTGGGCTGAGGTGCTGAACAGACTCTGAATTCTGGTGAGGAATTTCCAGTAGCAGACATGTATTTATAGCCTGTAACTTTGTGACAGGTTTGGCATATCTGTATTTAAGACAATTGGACTGAAGAGGATTGAAGATAAAATTTATCCTGGTCTGGTTTGGGGAGTCAGTAGCTCAACCAAGCTGAGGCAGGTACAAGAAGGCCATGGGTCGGGAACTTCCAGTTGATCAAGCTGTGACGATGGCGGCTTTTTTAGAAGCCGCCCGTTCCCAGATTGCATAAAAGCCGGTGGGACTCTTACAATCAGCTGTCCCATGGCTTGAATCTCTTCCCTGGGAGAAAGGGAAAAGAAGAGCCACTCAGGTAGAGGAAGAGCTCCCCTGGATCCCTATAACTTTGGGGATCGGAGGGTAGAGCTCCCTCGGAGCCTGAGCCTACTCTGCGCTCCAGGACGTCTTTGTCCCGAAGTTCTGGGATGAAGCAAGACACCACTTCCACATCTGCTTTTTTCGGTGGCTTTGTGAGTATATAAATGCAGACAGAGCAGACCAGGAGAAAGTGGATTTAGGATTAATTGGGACTTTAACTCTTGCAGGTATCTTCTCCTTTTTTATTGTTTACTTTCCCTTTTCAAGAAGAAAGTGAAAGTGAAAGGCAAAATGGCGATTGTCTTTCTTGTTTGATTTTGCAACAAAGTTAAAAGTTGGATACAGTTTATGTTTTAAATATAGAGGCAAGAATCTTGCTCCTTTTTCTTTTTTACTATTTAAAAAACTTTGAATTTAAAAGAATGGCTTCAAAACGTTTGGTTCCAGTTCCTAAAGCTTCTATTTCCTCTCCAATGACTCAGTCTGTTTCTCAGTCTAAACCAAAAACACCCCCTCCCTCTCCTCCTCCTGCATTTTCTCTTAAAGACTTACAAGAAGCTTTAAAAACGACTGCTTTGGATATTAAAGAGGAGGTAAAAGATTTTATGATTGCAGAGAGGGTTGTTATGGAAGAATTTTTGCAGAAAAAAAGGAGGTTAGGGAGGATATATTATTTGTGTTTCAAGGACTTGCTTTGCATATTGAAAGGATTGATGATAAAATGGATGAAGTCACTGAAAATGCAGCAAAACTGGAATCTAGAGTGGAGGAAGTGGAGAACAAGATAGAATCCACACAGGATGAACTAACTATCTCACAATACAGAGAAATGGAGTTTGCACTGCGCATCAGGGGATTGAAAGAAAATTTACAGGAAGATTTAAAGATGCTTATTGTTAAAGATATTGCTTTCAATCTTGGATGGAAACCAGAGGAAGTTGGGAATGAGATAGAAAAAATTTTTACAGTCAATTCCCGGGTTGCTAGACAGAGAAATTTACCTAGAGATGTGGTCATTTATTTTTCCAGAAGATCTATTCGTAATGAAATTATACAGGCTTTTTATAAACAGAGGTTTCAAACTGCAGCCCAAGATGTGATAATTTTAAAAGAAATACCTCCAAAAATTTTAAGAAGCAGAAAAGATTTCACCTTTTTGTCTGATGAGTTAAAACGTCGCCAAATTCAGTTCAGATGGGAGATCCCAAATGGAATAGCAGGGAATTATGATGGAACACGTTATAGATTAACTACAGTTTCAAAGGCAAGAGATTTTTATTATTCTATTTTAAAGGCAGGACCATCCTCATCCTCATAAATAAGTAAAATTGAAGAAGAGCCTGCAATGACAGGAACCTCTTCACTGATGGTCATGGAACAAGCGGCGTTGGCTGCACAGAATTTTGAGATAAAAGAACAAAGGATGACACGAGCTGCCCATAAACGTAAAGAAAAAGAGCAGCAGCAGAAGAGTGGTGATAAAATAGAAGGAACTGTTATTACAGAGCCTGTGGGAGGGGCAAGACCTAAAAGATCTTCGACAATTGATCTTCAGGCTATGCTTCAGAGGCTTCAGGCCGGTGGAGATGGCAAAGTTCCTGACGTGGAATGTTAACGGCCTAAACTCACCACAGAAAAGGAGAAAAGTTTTCCACCATTTGAAACAACATAATAATGATTTAATATGTTTGCAAGAGACTCATATAACTTTAAAGGACTCAAAATATTTGATAAATTTTTGTTTGGGATCACATTTCATGGCTCCAGCTCCAGGGAAAAAAGGGGTGTTGTAATTTATGTGAAGAAAAACTTATCGGCTAAATTAATAGAGGCTGATTCAGAAGGAAGATATGTTTTTGTGGAGTTATTATTACAAGGCAAGAAAGTTCTTATTGTTGGACTATATGCCCCTAATCAACAACAGAAGCAATTTTACAAGCTTTTGCATGGGAAAATATCTCAGCTGGATTATAAATCTGTAATTTTGATGAAAGATTGGAATGGATTTTTGGATTGAATGAGAGATAAAAAGAGTTCTTCTAAAACTTTTACTTAAACTAAATTACCTAAAACTTTTTTGATATGAAAGAAGAGTTGGAACTTATTGGCATTTGGTGAGAAAGGAATATAAGTGATAGAGACTTTACTTTTTACTCGGAGAGACACCAGTCATTTTCAAGGATTGATTTTTTTTATTACTAATGATTTTCTTTCTAGGGTTAAGAAGGTTAAAATTTTTCCTAGGACGTTGTCTGACCATAGTCCGGTGTGGATGGAGCTACATTTGGAAGATGGGAATAGAAGATCCTGGAGACTGAATGAGAATTTGTTTACTCGGGAAGAGTTTGTACAAAAATGTAAAGAGTATTTGAAGGAGTTTTTTGCTTTAAACATGAATAAGGGTACTTTGATGCCCATGGTCTGGGATGCCAGTAAGGCATACATGAGGGGAATTTTGATTCATTTGAATAAAGTTTCTAGGGGTAAAATGTTACAAAGATGTAGAGAAATAGAAGAAGAGATTAAATTAAAAGAAGAAGCTCTTGTTCTTAATCCAACTGATAATAAGTTAAAGGTTTGTATAAATATGCTTAGGGAACAATTTAATATGTTGATGGCAGATCAGGTGGCTACTAATCTACATTATATGAGACATAATACTTTTTGTAATGTGAATAAGCCTGGGAGGTGGTTGGCTTATCAATTATGAAAGAAACAGAAGGCTAGGATTATAGAGAAAGTAAAATATAAAGGTACTGAGGTTTTTCAGTATAATTTGATTAAAAAGAGTTTTTTAGATTTTTATACAAAATTATATTCAAGTGATAATATAAAGGGAATGGATATAGATAAATACTTACAATCAGTACACTTTCCTAAACTTTCTGAGGAACAACAAAATGTGATGAATTGCTCAATTACTGTGGAGGAAATTGGTTTAGCCATTAAGCAGTTAAAGTTGGGAAAGTCTCCAGGAACAGATGGATTGACGTCAATGTATTATAAAATTTTATCTGAAGAAATGATGGAACCATTAAAGGAGTTGTTTAATAGTATTTTGTTGGGAGCTCAAGTCCCCCCTTCTTGGAAAGGATTGTTTATGTCATTGATCCCAAAGGAGGATCAAGATCTTACAGAGCCTAAGAATTACAGGCCAATCTCTTTGTTAAATGTAGATTATAAGATTTTCTCTAAAATTTTGGCAAACAGACTAATGCAGGTTATGAAGGACTTGATTCATAGTGATCAATCAGGATTTATAACAGGGCGATATATGAAATATAATGTAAGACAAATTATTAATTTAATTGAGTATTTGGATAAGAACAATCAGATTCCTGTGGCTTTTATATTTTTGGATGCTGAGAAAGCTTTTGATCAATTAGATTGGCAATTTTTATTCTCACTGGTAGAGAAAATGAATTTTGGGGATAAGTTTTTATATGCGCTTAAAGCTATATATCAGCAACAATCGGCTCAAATTGTTGTTAATGGGGGATTGACTGAGACTTTTAATATTGAAAAAGGGACAAGACAAGGATGTCCATTATCTCCATTATTATTTGTTTTAACATTGGAGATTTTGTTGATCCAGATTCAAGAATCAACGGTAATCAAGGGCATAAAGATAAGAAAAAATGAGTATAAATTATGGGCTTTTTCGGATGATTTGGTTTTGATTTTGGAACAACCGATTAGAGTGGTTGATTGTTTATTAGAACTTATAACACAGTATGCAAAAGTTTCTGGTTTTAAAGTCAATAACCATAAGACTAAGATATTATCTAAGAATATGTTAGCCAATGACAAGGAAAGTTTGGTTAAAGCTACAGGTTTTCAGATGGTGAAAAAGGTTAAATATCTGGGAGTATATTTAACTGCCTCAAATGGAAAATTGTATAAAAATAATTATGAATTACTATGGGCAAAAGTGCAAAAGGATTTAAATGACTGGAAAAAATTGCAATTGTCACTGTTGGGGAGAATTTCAGCTGTAAAAATGAATGTTCTACCAAAGTTTCTTTTCTTGTTTCAGATGATACCTATTTTAAAAAAAGATGTAAATTTGGAGGAATGGCAGAAGGGTATCAATAAATTCATTTGGGCTGGGAAAAAACCAAGGGTTAAGTTTAAGATTTTGCAAGATGCCCGAGAAAGAGGAGGACTTAAAGCATCTAACTTGAAATTATACTATGATGCAGCAGCCTTAACTTGGATAAGTGATTGGCTTAATTTGACAAATAAGGATATTCTTGTTCTTGAAGGGTGGGATTTAATGTATGGTTGGCATGCATATTTTTAATAAGAAAGTGGACCGGGCTTTCAAATTACATATTTTGAGGAGTGCCTTACTTCGAGTTTGGAAAAAGTATTATTATAGGTTAAACTATAAAATACCTATCTGGGAGATTCCTAGACATGCAATTGAGGGGATTTCTAAGGGGATGAACTTTGATAAAATTTCATATAAATTATGAATTCAAGTTTGCAGAGAGTTAAGGGTTATTAGGACTCCGTTTATTGTATAAGTAGTAAATTTATGTTGACTATGTTTAGTTTTCTTTTCTTTTTTTCTTCTTTTTTTTCTTCTTTTTTTTGTAACCCTGTATTGAGCTCTGGGAAGTCGGGGGGGGGAGGGGGTGGGGGGAGGGGGGAGGGGAGAGTATGGGTAGTATTTTCAATAGTTCAGATTTTGGTGATAGAGGATTGCTCGGGCATTTTCCCTCAGACTGCATCCGATTGAGAAGAAGAGGAGAGGGATAAGTAAGTAGAAAGATGGAGGAGAGAGGGAGGGGAGGAGAGGAGGAGGTAGAAGGAAGGGGGAAGTGAAGAGATGAGAGGAGGATGCAGTCTGGGGGGAAATGGGTGAGCAATGTTGGAATTTGTGTTCTATTTTAACTTCTTATGTATCTGAATTTTTTTTCTTATGATTGTAATGAAAATAAAATAATAAAAATTGTTAAAAAAATTTCGTATAAAGAATTATTAATTTGGTCAGGTTCGGATTGTCATTTAAAATCTCTAGATGTATTAAGGCAAGAAAATATTCTACAGTCATGGTTTCAATATTTACAAATAGTGGACAGGTGGACTGTAGATAAGAAAGAAGGAATAACACTAGAAGATAGAAATCTGGTTATTCAGATTAAAGATCAGAGTCAGGCCCATATAAAAAGAATTTACAATGCTTTAATAGAATTAGACTCTGAAACAGAATTGGTTAAAGACTGTATGATTAAATGGGCTCAGAATATCCAGGATCCGATCCCATTGGACTTATGGGAGACAATTTGGATTAGAAATGTTAAATTTACACAAGCTCAAAATTTGAGGGAAAATTTTTATAAAATGTTTTACAGATGGCATTTAGATCCTAAAAAATTATCTTGTATGTATCCAAATTTACAACCCAAATGTTGGAGATGTGGTAATATGGATGCGACATATTTTCATGTTTGGTGGAATTGTAAAAAGGTAAAGGCTTTTTGGATTATGATTTGGTGGAACATTCAAAAGATTTTTAAAAGGAAGATAAAGTTCACCCCTCAATTATTCCTATTGGGTATCTTTGTGGATTTAAATGACAAAGAAACTACTTTAATGTTGAATTTATTAAGTACAGCAAGGTTATTACTAGGCTCATATAGGAAGAAGGACTCGTTGCCTACTTTAGAAGAATGGATATTTAAAGTTTCTAACTTTGCAGAAATGGCAAAAATTTCTGCTTATTTGAAGGATCATACACAAGAAAGATATATTATTGTATGGAGAAGATGGATAGATTATATTCAGAAAAAATATGGGACTATAAAGTTTCATTTATTTTATGAGTAAATTTTATAGTAACTGTTGTAGAGATTTGTTTATATGTCTTAATTTAAGGGGAGTTAAAGGTTAAGTATGATGTTTTTTTTCTTTTTTTCTTTTTTCTTTCTTTTTTTTGCTTTTTTTATTATTGTTAACCTTCTTATTAATAACCCTGTACTCTGCTCTGGGAAGCGAGGGGGGGAGAGTTGAGGGTGGGTGGCTGGGTGGGTGGGTGGGTGAGTGGGTGGGTAATGATAACATAGTCATGGCAAATGCTTGGGCATTTCCCCTATGCTGCGTTCATGTGTGTGAGAGGGATGAGAGGGGAGGAAGGAGTAGGGAGGAAGTAGGATGGTTAGAGGAGAAGGGGAGGGGAAGAGAGTAGGAGGGGAGGAGAGAAAGAGGAGGGAAGTAGGGAAGGTTTAGAGAGGGTGGACGCAGCCTGGGGGGAATGGGCAGGCGGTACCAATGGTTAATTGTATTTTGTATGAATAAATGGAAAATAAAAACTTTTTTAATAATTAAAAAAAAAGAAAAAAGAAAAAAAGAAAAAAGAAAAGAAAAGGCTAATAAAGAATGGATATATGTTAACTATTGGCCCTATACGTACTCTGGTAATTACTATTTGTATTTTAATAATTATTTTCAGTGAGGTCTGATTCATAGTTGAGATTTTAACATTTTATAGGATGATTTATGCCACAAGTTAAATATTTACATCCCCTTATAAATTTAGACATTGTAATAAAAGAGAAGTAGAAAGTGTGTGAATGAAAGTTGAGAGGGGGGAGGAATTGAATAGTTTCAGGCTTGTATGGATACTGGTTGTGCAAATTATGTTTTCACCTGTGTACATTGTTAGATCACACCCTTTTATTAGCATAGGTGTAATAGTGTCCACAATAGTATCCCTCACATGTTGGCTGTGTTTGTTTGCCTGCATCAGGTCCTATGTGACTCACCCTCTGATAATGTGGTTTTATTGTGTAGTCTATTTGTTTAGATGGTATCTAAAATCAATTTCATAACATCTGTTGGTCTGTCTGTTTAACAAAAAGATTGGGCCAGGAAAGGATCCTCTCTCTCTCTCTTGCGGATTTCCTATTGCTACATCTTCATTTCCTTTATCAAGATCCAGGCTGTGCTGATATTAAGTCATTCTTATTCTAAGTTGTATCCAATGCTATTTCAATTGAGAAAAAATAACCTTAAGAATTTTTTTTCTGCTCCTTTCCGAGATCTTAGTGAATAGCTTCAATCTGATTTTATACTATTTCTGCCGAAGCAACTACATTAGCTGGAAGACATCGGTGGCAAAGTAATCGCAAAGCAATAAATAAATAAACCGAAAGAGAAGAATGAGACTGTGTGAAATTATAGCATAATATATGGTTGAAGAGCAGGCACCACCTCCCTCCCTCTCCCTCCCTCTCTCTCTCCCCCTCCCTCCTCTCCCTCCCCCTCTCTCCCTCCCTCCCTCCCTCTCTCCCTCCCTCTCTCTCTCCCTCCTCTCTCTATCTCTCCCTCCCTCCCTCCCTCTCTCCCTCCCTCCCTCTCTCTCCCTCCCTCTCCCTCCCCCTCCCCCCCCCTCTCTCCACAAATGTTTTAGACTTTGATGGGTAGCAATTTTATTTAGATAAAGAAAGATAAAGCGATAGCAGGCAGCAATCTCAGGTCATTGGCCATATCTTGAAGATATCCATGGTCCTAGATGGAGATGGCATTATTTTCCACGTGTCCTATACAAATGAGAAAAAAATAATAAGTTGATCAAAGTGAGTTTAAAGTAAATTCTTTGCTTTGCAAAGCTTTTTGAATGCAAACAATATCAAGCAAAGAATCTCATTATTTACTGTATCTGTAGTATCTCTATTAGAGGAGAGTTTTCTTACCTTCTACAGCACCTCTGTCGCGGCCCACAGTCCTGCTGCTTAAGGTCAACATGTTTGGGAGGACATCCTCTGCGAAAGCAGCGTCCTTCTAGACGACGACACTCTTGTTGGGCATTCCCTATGAAAAGAAAAAGAGGAGACAGGTAAACGATGAGTAAAGATTCCTTAATATTTAAATATATTTTTCCTTCCAAGACACTACCTTCTTCTACAGAACTGCAGGATTCCTTTATCAATTTATATTTTTATTCATTTATAACATAAAAATATGAAAATAAAAAGCAAATAGTAAGGAACAACCATAGGGAAAGAGGAAAAGTATTCCTCTGATAATCAGCAGAGATCCAATACCAACCACAGAAACTGGCAACAATGGATAGGCTAGGTGGGGCTAGGGCAGTCACACAACTTAGAAGTGGCAAAGATACCTGTATGCCAACCCTGTCAGAAAGGCAGAGGCTATAAAGATGTCTGCTAAAGAAGATTCCTCACCAGAAGGAGGAAAGTCTGCTCAGCACCTCAGCCCAGAGAAGTTGAAAAGGGAGGCTAAGAGAGAAGAAGCCAAGAAAAAGATAAAAATTGTTCTGGAGCTTAAAAAAATGGAGATTGCTGAGAAAGAGCCTATCAGGAGAAAAATGAAAGAAGCACCAAATTCAATTAGAGCGGTTGAAATTGCAACACTACATCTTCTACACTATTTGTCCGTTTTTCCATAGGTAAAAAAACTGTAATTCTCCATATCGGCTTTAGTGTGGTTTTAGATGCCATGCATGCATCCACATGCTGGTTTCACATAAAAGATTTTTTACCCCTGGCACGTAATAGGATGTCCTGCAATAACTTTTAACTCCTCCCACTGTCTAGATGAACTATAGAATTAACTAACAGCAAAAACTACATTACCCATAAGCCATCTCTTAAGGAAACAGCATTTAACCCTTTAAATGCTAAACATTCTAACATACAGTTCTCTCAATGATACAACATTAACCCTGTAAATGCTAAACATTCTAACACAGTTCTTAAGCTAACTGACTAGTACAGCACACTCCCCGCTTGGAAATATAAATTTCCACTACTAACTAACTAGAATAAGCAAAAAACATAGCATCAAAGCATGGTCTTTCCCAAAGGCGTCTGCAGCTGAGTACCGAGCTAAGGATTCAATCCATAGCTCGGTTCTTGGCTGCAGTGGCTCTCTGGAAAGGTTTGTGACTGAGAAATGTAGGCCTGGCTGCAGAAGATGTTGCAGAAGAAGTGGGCCGGCGAGGAGAGGCCTGGCTGCAAGATAAATGTGTGTGGGGCACATGGGGCAGCTCCACACCCCCAACCCATCCCTAGCTTGATTTTTAGGTGTGTCCCTCACCCCAAAACAAGGGCTTATTTTCGGTATAGGCCTTACTTTTGGGGAAACACGGTAATATTGAGAGACGGCCCCACACATAATACATAGATGCACACATATTTATGTATCTCAAAATGTCAGGAGAGATTAAGTAACAAATGATGTAAGTGTACATATTCACAGGTAAAGGATGTCAAGAAATTGTCAGTGAGTTTAAAACAACACAAACCTGAAAACTCACAGCCATGGGCCATGTTGAATAGCATAAAGTCAATGGCCAGGATGTTCTGCAAAATTGCCGTTCTTTGCTGTTCCTGATCCTCATTCAGGAGAGGAGTAGCGTTTGAAGTTTGGCTTATACTTTTTACTACTAAACAAGTCAGTTTTCTAATATTGAGGTAGACATGGGCTGCTAGGGCTGTTTAGCCAATTATAGAGCTAGCAAGCCCATAAACCTTTTCTCTCTTTGATTGCCCTATATGGTCATCCCAACTCTTGTCAAGTGGGGAGCTCCCAATGAGGTTTATGTTCTTGCACGCTGGTCTGGGCTTGTGACTATGGTTTGAACCTACATTAGGCCATGGGTAATCTCAGCCTTTACCCAGATTTATTCTGCGGTTTGTCTAAAGAAATTTAACCAAGACATGGCAAACTTTGCACATGCCTGCATGTCATCAGCACATAGCAACAAGTTATTGACCCATGGAATCACTGGTTCCTCTCAGGGCTGGAGCTGAAGAACCTCCAGTATCCTCCCATTAGGGAAGAAAAGAAGGAATGGGAGAAAGAAGAGCGAGAGCTACAGCAACCTCTTTAACTGCTATGAGATGGGATTTCTCCAGCAGTCCATAACCTTCACTTTGACCCAAGAATTGCAATCCTTTTTTTTTGCTTGTTCTGGAAGAGAGAGGGGGCCACTTAGAAGATGTTGATTTTAGCAGTTATCAATCTTATAATTCAGCTTTCAGGAAAAAGATTCTTGCTTTGCAGCAGCACCATTAAAAAAAATTCCTAACCTACCAGTTCATCCTCACCTTTACAACCTCGTTGCTCCAACAAGGGAGTATTTTCAAAGCTAAAATTGCTACAAAAATAAAAAATAGTAGGGAGGAGACAGGAATCGTTCTGTGCCCCCTTCCTCCCTTTGTGAATCATTGGCATCCATTGCCCTCTGTCAGCAGCAACTCACATGAGATAATGATGGTCAGTCTCTGTCAGAAGGCAGCTCACACGAGATGATGATGGTCAATCTCTGTCAGCAGCAGCTCACGTGAGGTGATGATGGTTGGTCTCTCTCAGCAGCTCATAGGAACCTCCCTTATTCTATCTCCTCTTCTCTTTCTGGCCTTTCCCCACTGAATCCTCTCCTTCTCTCTTCTCTTCTCTCCTCCAAGCTTGCTCGAAAGAAACTTCTCTATCTCCATCCCTCCCTCTCCATCCGGCTTGCCCCACCGAAAAGGATAAAAACAAAATCCAGCCAACCTCCTCCCTCACTCTTCCTCTGTCTGGCTTTCCCCACCAGGAAAAAAGAAGAAAAGCTATCCCCCAGTCAACCTCCTCTTCCCTTTTAATGCCTCCCCAAGCACCGTGCCACACCACCAGCCACCGTGGAGGCTGTTGGGGGCTCCTAACCTCCACGTTGAATCCGCAGAACTCCAGCAAACCCTCCCAGCCAGAGCCGATCCCACCCCAACTCCCCTCTCCACTACACATGTATGAGTTGGGTTTATTTGTTTATTAAATAATTATACAAATATTTATACATTTCAGAAAGGAGGGGAAAATGATACAAAAAGGGAGAAAATGATCCATATATACACATTCATAAATGATGGTCAATCTCAGGTTATTTGTTGCCCTTCTGTTAGATCTGCAAAAAAAATGATCTTAGTTAGAAGAAACATTTGCATCTTCAGATTCAGTGGTTGCTATAGGGATGTTCTGATAAAAATTTCCACGGTCATTATGAGCCGCAATCCTTATGTCTCCATTTGCCTACCAAACAGTCTCATCTATCTGGAAACTGATTTTACTCTATTGTAACTAAAATGAGACATGGTGCATTGCTATTGGTTTCTTTGGGAATAAGAAGAATACCTCCTCCCCATGTGCATGTTGCTCTCTTCCTTCCATTTTTCTCAATTTTAAATCAATGTTAATGCTACTATTTATTATTTTAATCTTTTGTTTTCTTTTGTCTGGGTTGTAAGCTGCCTAGAGTCATCCCTAGCCAAGATGTGCAACATTTAGATTTAATAAAGAAATAAAAAAACAAACATTAAATGATCAAAATCTATTAATCAAGCCTACTAAATGACATTTTTGAAAAATAATAGATTTGTAAAAGTCATTTTTTTCTATTTTATTTTGACATCAAATGTTCTTTGGTGTTCAGATCTGGCCTAAAAATAATAATATAGCACTTGGGGATGAAGATGCAGCCCAGCAATCCAGCACTGGAGGCCAAGATGGAGAAGACCTGCACAGCCACCATGTACTTTCCTTTATTATTCAGGTAGGCTGGCACAAAGGACACCCAGACACTGCAGAAGACCAGCATGCTGAAGGAGATCAGCTTGGCTTCATTGAAGGCCCCAGGGAGATTCCTGGACAGAAAAGCCACTATGAAACAGACAGCAGATAGGAAGCCCATGTATCCGAGGGCAACATAAAACATGGTGACAGCACCTTCACTGCATTTTAGGATGATCTCTCTAGGTTGGGAGTACATGTCAGAGTCAGGGAATGGAGGGGAAGTGCCCAACCAGATGCTGCAGATGACAACTTGGAGACCAGAACAAGAAAAGACAATGGAGTTGGCCAAGCTCTTCCCCAACCATCTCTGCACTTTATTCCCTGGTTTTGTGGCCAAGAAGGCTAACACAACTGTGATTGTTTTGGCAAAGATTGAAGAAATGGCAATTGAGAACATAATGCTGAAGGTTGTTTGTCGGAGGAGGCAGGTCACTCTCCTTGGCCGGCCAATGAACAGAAAGGAGGTCAAGATGGAAAGCAGGAGAGAGGCCAGGAGAATGTAGGAGAGGTCCCGGTTGTTGGCTTTGACAATTGGTGTTTCCATTAATTT